CAACTTTGTGCCCTGAGAGAGGGGCTATCCAAACAGACTTGCATTAGCAGAGGCCCCTTGTTCCTACTGTACATGCAATGTTCTTGATGCAAGTCCTGTGTGGAGACCCTCACCCTTTAAACTCTCTGGAAAGGAGAAAATAAAACCCCCTACCCCATCTTCCCTTTTAACTTCAGACTCAGTACTTGCATCAGGAGAGCTGAATTTAAAAGGAGGAGCCCAGCAGGTTGATTTTTATCAAGCTACAGCAATCACTTGCAGCACAGAAAGTAATGTGTATTACTTTCTTTGCAGGCAGCAGCCTTACCAAACTCACTATGAAGGTGCAGTAAAGGGACCACAGGATGGGCAGCAGTTTGAAACTGGGACAGAAGGAAAGGACATCATTGGGGTTGTGGGAAAAGTCCTTAGTCCTATCCAGGAGTAAATGTGTAGTTAAATGTTGTAAATGTATAATTCTGTCAAATAAGCTGCAGTAGTGCCAATCCATTGGTCAGAAGAAGGAATGAAAGATTTGGACATATCTTCCTCATAAAGCATTTATTCAGTTAATTATGTGTAGTTCTGCATGAGAGTTTGTGTTGATTGGAACCAGTTTTTAAAAATAGAGTTAAGCAGTTAGATTTTTAATGTATATATGTGAGAGGCAGTGCCCAAAAGTCAGCTCTCTTTTTTCCTTTCTTGAGTGATTCTTGCTATTTTAGATAAATTTGCATCTTCTTTTTAATGCAGTTGCTTATAATGGTATAAAATGCATCAATCTATTGGCATACAAGAAACAGTTAATTTGTAAAAATAAACTGAAATTGCAATTGGCAGGGTCCTTGCCGGAGGGAGATGGAAGACACATTAAACAATCTGAAGATTCTGAATGTTTTAAGCCCAAGAGGATTGCATATTCCAAATTGTGACAAGAAGGGATTTTACAAGAAAAAACAGGTGAGATGAAGTTATTGGCTACTGTATTTCCATTTCTTCTTCTTCCTTCTATGATATGCAGATCCGTTACTGTGTAATCATCACAAAGCAACAAAAAAGAATTCATGTTCAGTTCCGCTGTTTTAAATGTAAAATAAATTGGCAGTAGTTTAAATCACCTTTTGGCTTAGTTCCAAAGCAACATGTCAAGTGTGGTTGCTGTTTTTATTTGCTGTTGTTAATGACAACAGAGTAAACCTCATACTTAAGTCACAGATGAGCTGACTCAAGTCCTAGATACCAGCAGCTCTCTGAAGAAGAAAAACAAAGCAAAACAAAGACCCAGCAAAAGTTGCCATCGCCATATGGCTGTAATAGATCAACACTCTAAATTATAAATAGCTGCCTGAGAGTGGCTAGAAAAATTGGGTTGGGTTGGGTTACAGAAAGCAACTTCAGCAACTCCATATATCACTCCTTTATATGCTACAGAAGATCACTTCCAAAATCTAGATCATGTGATCATGAAAATGATATGCAGTGAATATTTATTTCATAGTAATGCTGGCCTCTCAAGTACTTTGACTTTCCATCTGGATCAGCCCCTGAGGCAGAAAGCCCCTGTGACCTTTCTGACAAATGTAGTCATTACAGCTACCCGTGCTGTTGTTACATTAAGAGTAATCTACTGCAGTATAGCTAATTCAACAGTGCCAATAAATGGCCTTCAGTTGCGCAATGCATTGCCATGCATTGATTTTACAAGTATATGAGCTTAATATCTTTTTCTTCAGGAAAGCTGAGAATCTCAGCCATGTGGCTGGGAATTCTCAAGGCTGGAATCTCAGGAGATCTGTGCAACATAACGACTGGAAAACTGATCTGTGTGTATTCAAATATATTTTCTTAAATTAGAGATGCTGAATTTCCATGTCCTTGATTCAAAATGTACAGGTAGTCCTTGCTTAATGACTTTGTTTAATGATGGTTCAATATTACAATGGCCTTGGAAAAAGTGCTTTATGACTTGTACTCGCACTTACAACCATTGCAGACTGTCGCACCACCACCCTGTGGTCACGTGATCATGATTTGTTACCTTTTTTATGGCAGACGTTAAGTGAATCAGCACAGTTGTTAAACAAATCAAGTGGTTGTTAAGCGAATTCTGGCAAAAAAGTCCATTAGGGAAGCTGGATTTGCTTAATTACTACATGATTCACTTAATGACCATGTGATTCATTTAACAACTGCAGTGATTTGCTTGACCATCATAAAATCGGGTCCAGTTATGTGGTGACTTACTTAACGACTGCCCCACTTAACCATTTTTCCAGTCCCTATTGTGGTTGTTAAGCGAGAACTACCTATATCATTTTGAGTGGCAGAAATTTTCTTCAAATTGATTGTCACATTAAGTTGAAAAATTGAAAAAAATAAAAACTTTTATATATAGACTATATAAACAAGGTAATGAATATCCAATCCAATAGCACAGAGTAAATGGGAAAATGTTTTGGATCAAAAACTGTGGAGCCATTATGAATGATAATAAATGCAAATTTAGAGAAACTGCTGAAAGACCTTACTGGTAACAGAAATATACCCAGAAAAGGAAGTATTTTTAATTGATGAACATCAAAATAAAGTAAAAAATGCTATTACTAATCCTGGTTCAGGCCTAAACTGGAATTCTTTGAAGATAATCCTTCCTCACAGACGTATTTTGGTAATACCATTACTTTGTGCAATGTAGCTAATTCCTTTCTGCATATTCTTTTGTCAGGAAGATTTTATATCTTATAGGCCAAGTTCTCTTTGAAGTTGAAAACCTGTGGATGGGTTATACCATTTAACTTGAGGGCTCATATGATTGAATATTCATCCATATATGTAAAACTCCTTAACTATAACTTTTCAGGGAAAACAGTAGGATGAAATATCCCTGATGACTAATTTTTTGGTGAGGAGAAGTTTTTTGTTTTGTTTTGGATTTCTTTTTTCTGGGAGGGAATGATTATGGTGGAGGACTTCTTTCATGTGATTACCATCTGTAGTCTGAGGTACTACAGACTAGAGTGGGGTATAGAGAAGAGGAGATATGATAAATCCCTGACTGATTTACAGTAGATTAAAACAAATTTTAACTTCTAGTTGTCTAAAAACTTTATTTTACATATACATATTTTCATGTACATATACATGAAAAAAGCGTTGAGATGGGTGAAATAAATGTGGATTTTTCTGTTGAAGAAATGTGCATTTCTGGTCCTCAGAACAAATTCCTAGATTGATCATTTCTGAATTTGCTTCTTGTCTCTTGGGGAATTCTACAAGCTTTAAGTCTGTTCAGCCCACAATCTAATTCAAGCTTCCCTAATCTAGAGGTCTACAGTTGTGTTGAGATTCCAGGATTCATGAGAAGAGCAGTTTCAATATATCTGGAAAGGTTGGCCTAGTCCATAAGCATCCATATATTAACAAGGGTCTATTCTTTGTAATACCATAGGTTACAAGAGTAGATTGGGTTTGTGGTATGAAAACTAATCAGACATTAATTTAGATGGAACCCCCTTTCAAGTTCTAGATCAAATCTGCCACAGGTGAAGCCATTATTAAATTATACTTACTTTTCATTGACTTGTGCTCTTCCCTCATTAATAAACTATGTGGTCTTCACTCATTAACAGGTTCAGCGGTTATCCATTTGAAATTTGTGGGAAGGATTTCTGGATTAGAAGTTGCAGATTCCTCATAGGCATGTTCCCCAAAAGTTGTCTCCTCCTCTTCCTTCTCCTCCTCCTCCCACAGTGTAGATTGTGCCTTTAAAAGAAAAATTTGCCTTGCAGACAACCCACCTTCCCATGAATGATTTCCCAGGCAACACCTCTGGCTTCTAGGTGCCATTTTATAACAACTCTGCAGCATTGGCTGCACTGCTTTCATTAGAGAATAGTAGTAATCTGTATTTTTAGATGGGCTTTTATGTGGTTTGAGAATTGAAAAAGAGGAAAGTCATCATCACGTTACCAGCTGACCTGCTGTGAATTCCGAAGAGTCCAGAGACTTTCCTTTAAAAAAAAAATTCCCGTTTTTTGTATTGCTCATATTGCTCTATATTAGCTTCTCTATGTGTGACATTTTTAAAAGCAGCTATATGAAGTATTTTGGCATGGCTTATGTTTAACATTGTCTCCTGGTACAATAGTTTTTATATTTCCCCATATATCATTTGAACAATTGAGGATTTTCTTCAGTTTGTATCTGAAGTTGCCGTTCTAGCAACCTTTACAGTCAATTTGGGCTGTGTTTTTCCTTATAGAAGAGCTTTCCATTTTACAAAATATCACCCTAAGTTCCAGCTTTTGGCAAAGACAATTTCTTTGACAATATCATCTCAATTTTTCCTGTTTTTTGAAGTCAGAAGTTAATAATTCCTTATAATTGTTCAGTCTGTAGGTATGATGTTTTTAAAATAGCATAGTATGGTATACTTGTAGGTTCACCATTATATTCTGTCTGGGCTGAGAGGTAGGGAAAAAATAAGATCCACCCACTGAACTTTGTAGCTGAATAAAAACTTCCAGTAGGCCCAGACTGCTTAGACAATGGTGTAGTAGGGTGGGGGTTGTAATTCAGCAGAATATGGAGGGTTATGCATAGCTCACTCTTGAATAATGAGATTCCAGCTGATACTCACCGAGAGTTCTGTTGAACAGCCTTTGTATTTAGAACAGAAAATACTTTCCTTGCCCTATGAAACAGAAGTACAAGTTAACTTCCCAAAAATCGTGATTCCATCCAGCAACAGGGTGGAATATTGGCAGTAAGTACCTACAGTGTCTGCCAATGAAGTGTAGAATGTTGCCCAATAATATCCCAGATTCCATAACCAGAAAGCTGACATAGATAGTGGAATAATTAGTCATATATGCCTTTGTGTTATTTTGATATTTTTATAGAATTTGGGAAGCCACCTTCAGTGTTGACGAAAGTGGAAAAACAGGTGTGGTATTTATGAAAGATGAGCAGGGTGATAGCAATTTAAAGACACAGAGAAACAGACTGCCTTTTCAGAACCTTTCTTTTGGGAGTTTAACTTGAGCACTCTGTGTTTTTATGCTTATAGGGAGACTTTGAATACTGTGTGCCAGCTATTCTGTTTCTCATTAGAGACCATAGTTCTGCAGACTCATTTATTTTGAATTTTGATACATTTATTTATATTCTGCCTTCCTTCAGTCATGGAACTCACAGCTTGCCACAAAGCCCATGTAATAAAGGAGAGGGGCTTTCATTGGTGTTGTGTGTTAAATATTAGTAACAACTTTTTGGATCTTGACATCTTTGTTAAAATTGCTTAAAACTCCTTCTCATCCTCTAAATCACAACCTTCAGAAGAGGCTACTCTAATCCATATTTTCAACTTGTTGCTATAATAAAGATACAATATGTTATATGCAATAAATATGGTTTCTACCACTTGGGACTGTTCTCTGGGGTATTACTGAGAACAATAGCAAAATGTTTCTTGAAATCATTGCTGCTGCCATAGCTATCATTTGCAGTAATTTCAGATGGAGGCATCACGCAGTAGCAGCTGTTGCTGCACTCCGTATTGGTGTAAGCATCAGATACATTCCACAAAAGGAGGGGTGTTGAAATCCCAGCAGCTGTGCTCCAAAAGGACTGAGTGTTTAAACTGTTACACTGAATACTGTAGTCCATCAGAATTGTTGAGACTTCCAGTCCTTGGAGATCTGTCCTGTCAGATGAAGTATATTCTTGGACAGTCCTCACGCTTCTCTGCTTGGCCACTCCCTATGTATATACACAAAACTGTCTCGTCTTCCTTTCAACAAAAGCTTTTATGCTATGTGTATGTAGCCCTGGCAGGCATTTCTTTCAAACAGGGACTGGGGGCTTGTGCTCCTCCAGGTAAGGAAAGGAGCAGATGCCTGGTGCTATGTGAAGCATTTGACAAGGGCTTGCAAAGCATATTGCACAAGCAGAGCAGTTAC